CGGGGGGGAGCCACTAAATCACCTTCATTTTAGTAACTTGGAACGGCCCGTTCTAATTCTGGAACGGCCCGTTCTGGGCTACTAAAACATCTTTGTGAATTATTAAATTATCCTCATTGGACTTTTAGGCCCTCAGACATTCTATGAAAATTGGGCTGTTACAATTTGTACAAATTATTATTTTATAACATGCAAAATAGTAAATAAGCGTTCAATTCACAAATCTACTAAAAACACATTTGATATACTTAAACATTAAATATTCTAATTAATAAAAATGTATGAAATGGATTTATATTTTTAATTTAATAAATTCATTTAAGTAAACATTATCTAATATTTTACTCTTAATTATTTACTATTCTAATTTATAAAAAAACGAAAAATAGTAATTATTGAATATCGCCAAGGATCTTTTGTTAATTACTATAAAATATTTAGTGCACTTGTAACGACCCGGCTGGTCACTACACACTGCACAACACACTAGAAACACCACACAGAAAGGAACAGGTGTATACATATAGGGTCTAGAATATATACATATATATGATCCAAATCTGGATGGAGTTAAAGTGTACAGAATATATCAAAAGCTACTACACTAAGTAGCTAAACATCAAAAGATCCTAGAAGATCCACTCCATCTGCCAGCTGCAGACTCACCATCAGCCACCTACCTATCTCTGCTCTGCTCCCATACGTAGTATGATCATCGCAGTCCAAACATCATGGAGACAACAAAGGGTAAGCTAGTGTAAAGAAACAACATACATATATAGCAATATGATAGTAAACAGCTACAGCTATCAGCACATCAGCACAACTTATACCACACCACAACATTCAACAATATCAGCACTGCATAGCAGCAATTTCAGCACCACTCTAGTGGCTATAACAGCACCGCATAGCGGCAATAACAGCACCGACATAGCGGCTAGAACAGCACCACAATAGTGGTCATACACAGCATACAACTTAGCTAACACAACACAACCAAACAGCTCACAGCACAGCACAACAAATTAGCATACAGCACGGCTAAGTAGTATTCAACACAACTTACTACTCACAACTCAGCTCATCATTCTAGAGCACAACAATAATATAATTTTAGCATTTAAAATCATCAATAACAGCTCAGCTCAGCAAAGTAATATTAGCATCCAGCACAGCTAAATAACTTACAACACAGCAATAACAACTTATTCATCACACATCAATTGTAAAACAACATTTAACAACCAATTGTTTAGCATACAACTTATCTTTCATCAATCAATTGTAAAACATCATTAAAAAGCAACTTCTAATCATCCAACTGGCGTCTGACGCCACTCATCGTGTCCTCGATATCATTGACCGCCCATGCTAAGTGTCACGTCACTCGCACCCGGTGTGGTTGAAGTGGAGAGTGCCTCACACTCCTGCACTTGGCATGACAACATCCACGCTTGACCTTGATCAGGTAAAAATCTTTCTACTTGACTCATGCTTGGTGCCACACACCTTAATGTCTAACGTGAACCCAAGTAAAGATGAGTTTCTCTCCTCATGCCCGACATCATTCAACTTACATCCCGATGTAATTCCAACCTAAGACGAGTCTCTCTCCTCATGTTTGGCGCCACCGATCATGCGCGCCTAACATAAGTGAGACAAAAACCTTTCTTTTAGAACCACGCTCGATGCCTTGAAAGCACACTTGATGCAATATCAAATTCTGCACTTGTGCAAAACCTGATTTTTGCCAAATACTTGAAAAGCAACAAATTCCAATAACATGCAACATAATAAACAAAATTTATAAACATATACAATATAAATTCATCACCAAAAACAACATGCAACTGAAACTAATCACTAATCGATCATGAACCTCCATGAAAATCCCTTTCAACTTCATCATTGAATCAATCAACTGAAATAAGCAACTCATTCCAATCATCACCAACACAAATTGCACACTTAAATTGAATCATTGCTTCCTTTACCTCTTGGAGACTCAAATCCACAAGAGAAAATGAAGAGGAGCGACTCCACACACCACTGGCTCAAGGATTCTGACCGTGGAATTCAGACTTCCTCACCACCTCTTATGATCAGTTGTGAAAATGGTAGAGAAGAAAGAGTTCAAGTGAAAAATATAGGAAGGAAGGAAGGAAGAAATAAAAAAACAAGAGTAGTATCCTCTCTAGTTTCTCTACAAAGTTCTAAGAATTTTGAATCTTTCCTTTGAAAAAAGAAAATCTTCCTTCTATACCTTTTCTGAGCTGATTTCACTTATCTTTGATCCAATCCTCCAGAGATCAACTTGCTCTTAGAATATCTCAATTATATAATTATCAACAACAACTCCCAAATCAAACAATATAGTTATGAAATGACAGTGTTACACTACCACAAAAAAAGGTTCATATTTAATATATGTGTCGATTAATTTTTAAGAGAAAAATACCTTTTTAAAGAAAGGAATATCACTCTCAAATTCTTAACTTAAATTAAATAATTTAATATTTCAAAGTTTGATTTTAATTAATTTTAAAATAATATTTGACGAATAAAAATTTTGTTACATAAATATATTTTTAACTTTGATTGTCAGCAATTTTGAGGCATCACGAATCATGTCTTAAATTTTTTCTTTTTTAGGATAAATAAAAATCAGAAAAGGGTGTCAGTTATGGCACACATTACACAGTAAGAATGATGCATCAACCAACCCGCAGCAACCACAATTATCTTCTAATAATCCCGTGAGTGAGAACTGAGATGATCGCCAAGTGAAACCACGTGATCAAACATTCTTCATATTCAAATAAAGTTTCAGCAAGAATGAGGATTTTCACACACAGATATGTGATTTCGCTTCTCTAGAAATAACATAACAAAATTACAATTTTATACTTTATGACTGAAACGAAAGTGGGGGAAGCACAATCCTGAATGATAGTAACAATAGTGGACACTCGTCCATCCCAAACAAAGGTTGATACTAGTCAATCATTCACATTCGGTATCAATGTCACATTCACAGCCTGAAATTCAACCTAAACTAATCAACCAAACATAAAAAGGAGTACAACATCATCCTATTCCTACCTAATTAAAATTCCTCCATTCCAAAGTTAAGATGGGCATGGAATTAAAAAATGACATTTGTAACACCGACAAATCCAATTAGAACACTGTAGTTTCGATGTTAGGCAATATCCACGTCTGTGTCATCAAGTGCTGCCCGAATGATTGCCATATAACCTACCAATCTTCATTTTCATGTTTCAACATTTCGGTTCTCAGTTACAAAAGTGATAACCTATTCTATATTTTTGGTGGACGAGAATGATGAATATAAAAGGTCTTTAGATATCAAAGATTTGCGAAAATGCGTATAGTGGAATCAAAAGATATGCACTAATTTAATGTGAAATAAAATAAGTGAATATCTTGTAACCAAATACACATTTATTTCACATTGAATATTAAGAGATTCTATATCCAAGGAGTTAATCTGTGGTTTTATCCGCTAATAATGAATATTGTAAATCCGAAAAATATTTATATTCAAATACATGTTATATTAGGTTCATAATATATACACTTTATTTTATTTTATTTTATTTTAAAAAAACTATAAATATTTTATAATTTTTAAAAAGAAAATAAAGGAGCTGTACTTTAGAAAGATCTTTCTATTATATATATATATATATATATATATATTTTTATACTTTTGGAAAGTACTTTTCGGAACAATATGTAAAAAAACACAATCAACATTGTCGAGAAAATCACACACACTCCTATAATATTGTTGAAAACTAGTTCTACATTTTGCATGTGTGAAAAGGAGATAATAATAAGGAAATTGAAAGAGGAGAAGGGAAAAAAGTAATGTAAAATTAAAAGAATTAAAACAATCTACCAAAATAGGTTGAAGGAAAGGTAAGGGGTAAATGTGAAAATTGAAAAAAAGAGGAAAGATGTGTGAAAAAAAAGTACTAAATTAAATATTACAGGTGGAATTAAAAAAAAAAAAATTTAATTTAATTATTTTTAAAAAAAGAGGTATACATCATGAACCGTTATATTAAGATGGAGTCTTTTCAGAAGGCCCAATATGAGGCACAGTTGTGTTTGGTTTCAACACTAAGAGTCCAACAACAGGCCCATTTTACTGAATGGACTACAAAAGGTAAATGGCCCCAATTTGTAGCCCAACAAAAATTCAAACCAGCTACCCTCACGCTTCGTCTTTGATACCAGTCTCCGACACTACAGAGGGTCCTGTGTCCGCGTGCGTGCGTTTTTGCACTGTAATATCGATGTCTCCCTCCAACACGCCGAAATCGGAGAAGAAGAAAACGAAAACCGAAAGCAAAACGAAGAAGAAGGATAGAGCCGTCGAGAAAGAGGAAAACGACAAGAAGAAGAATAAGAAGCTCAAGCTCAGCAATGGCAATTCGGAACAACACGGCGAGAAGGGATTAAAATGCAACGGAGAAGAGGCGAAGACGAACGTGTTTCCGATGAATCGTATCAGGACCATGATTAAGGGCGAGGATCCCGATATGCGCGTTTCGCAGGAAGCTTTGTTGGCCATCAACAATGCTGTGGTAGCTTTCTAATCCTTGCGTTGTTTTCTGTTTCCATGTGTTCATGTTTTCCTTCATCGTTTGCCTTTTTCCTTGCAGGAGAAGTTCCTTGAGCAATTCACGCAGGACGCTTATGCTTCTTGTGTTCAGGACCGCAAGAAATCGCTGCATTACAAGCACCTAGGTAATTTCTTGATTGATATGTGAGTTCAATGAAGTTTGAAATTGGATTCTATTGTCAATTGTATGCTGTAACGTAGTATATAACTGTTTAGGCCTCAGAACATACTTGTTGGTGAGTCCTAAAGCTCAATATGAACTTAAAAATCCACACCGAGCCTCTATAGTACTATCTATTTAATGAGTGTGTCCTCTAGTGGCTCCTGCCTTTTTAGGGGTGTTGTGCATGGCACGGTGCCTCCCTCACGTGCAAGAAAGGGTGGTGCCAATGGTGCCTTAGTCATGTGTAGGAAGAATCTAGAATATCACGGTACACTTTGAACCCCAAAACCCCAATGTGATGGAGTGAGTTGATTATAATGGGTGGTCTGTCTATAGATTCCGGCGATCTACAAGTGCGAGTCAACCTATATTAGGTGCTAGGCTTGATGGAAGCTTTCATACTCGGCCGGTTAGAGGTGGTCTGATTCTCGGCTGGACAGTCCATAGCCTATGAAGCATCAATCTGAAAGGTGCAGGCAGTTGCTACTCTCGGCTGGATGGTCCAATTCCAATTACATTTTCTGATTGCTTGTTTTCCAACAATGATGTTAATATCTATGTTTTGGGAACTCAGGGATATTTTTCATTATTATTAGTTGAAAATTTTGAAGGCTTGTGAGTTTTAGGCTTAGATAAGTGAGACCAAATTTTGTGATCTCTAATAATTTTCAATTAATTAGAGAGTCTATTCAAAAGTGTCTCGGAGTGTGTTCCCAACATTTCTCTTAGGCTTATATTTATAATGAATTTTTTTTTTCAATATAATTTGAAGATGAACTGCTTGGGTAGAATTCCTGATCATTTTTGGTCATGCTTTTGGGGTGAGGGACTTTGTAAGAGTTTTGTCGTAAGATAGGGTAGGGAATATCATATTGGTTTTGTTCTGATACAGTGAAGCTCATAATCTAGTAGCTATCCCAAATTAAATTAATAGTAAATATTGGTTTTTTCCCTTGTTAATGTGAATTAAAAACATTTTAGATCAGTGTTACCACCAAATAGATCAACTCCCTTATGAAAGGTGGAATGTGGGTGAAGACAGAGTAGGAGTTGTAGTGCAGATGGTGTGGTTGATGGAGATCTGTAGGAGATGATGGAAGAGGGGACTGGGAAAAGATGCTTTTGGAAGAAAACAAAGGTAGGGGACTTTGACAGGATGGTGCAAACTGGAAGAAAACGACGAAAGAGGCGAGTGGAACAGTAGAACAGATGCTCTTGCATTAGGAAGAGGCAGGGGGGAGGGGTTTAAAAGGAAAAAAGATTAAGAGTTTTAATTAGTAAAATTTGTTTTGTGAGTATCAACATCTTGGAAAAGACTAAAATGCATTACTTTAAAATAATTACCAACATGTAGAAATATATTGATTGATTAAATGTACCTATATATATATATATAATGCAACTTTTTTAAATTTCTTTAAAGAATTATATTAATAAGGTACTAATTAATACTATAAAACATATTACTTATTTAAATAATACATCAACAAAGTATACCCGTGTAACATAAATTTTCCAAGTAGCATACCACACACCTACGCGACTATACCCATACTGAAGAATATTAAGCATTAGGTAACTATTATTCGGTTCGGATAAACTTCTTTTCTTGAATCATTTATTCTGATAACCTCTGAATAGCTATCAACTCATTCAGTTATGAATATCATCAAACCTCTCCAGATTCTGCATATCTCCAACTTGTAAGTGCCACGAACTATATTTGGCCACTGAAACAGATTCAGCACCGTCACTTGCTTGTGGAAACCTGCATTCCAATTTATGTATGTTAATAAAATAAGCTAATAAACTATGCTTGAATGGTATAGGGATGTGGTAAAAAAAATTGTACAACTTCATCAGTGCTGAGGAATTTCAAAGGGAATGGTATTTGTTTTTCTAATGTCTTCTATTGGTCTTTTCTAGAATTCCTCTGTCCTCAGTTATTGCGAAGGTTGCCTTATCTTACCCCGTTCAATATCAAAGGAAACATCTATCCTGAAAAGAAAAAAGATCAAGAGTAAAGTGGAAAGTCATTAATCTTACCCATTGATAAGGCACCGATATTTCATTAACTTTTTTGATCTCTTTGATAAGAGAAAAAGCAAGGCAGGTGAGTTTGATTGCTCAATGTTGTGAAAACCTTTTAATTGGTTGGCAGCTAAAATTTAAAATATTTACTACCATAAGATTTGGTATGGAGGTATGACCTAAATGGCTTGTAGAACTACTACTTTTTATGACCATAGGAATTGATCTTGAGCTTGTTCATGCTCATTGAGTCTATTAAACATTTCCCAATCACTGATTAGTCACCTGCTTTTCCTGTCAGCGCATGTTGTTAGTAAGCAGAGGAGATATGACTTTCTTTCCGGTAATTTCATATCCCAGTTATAATGCTATCCTATTCTTAAGTTTACATTTCCCTGTATTCACCGTACCCTACTTACAATGTTTTCTACATTGCTTTTGCTTGTTCAGATTTTGTTCCTGAGAAAGTAAAAGCTGAGGATGCATTAAGAGAGAGAGAAGTTCATCAGACAATGGAGGATGTTAGAAAATCTAAAGCAATCTAGTGGAGAATCTAAACTTATACTTTGTTTAATCACGTCACATTTTGTAATGGAAACATGCACCGGGATGAGTAATGCTGTACTTAAGTTTACATATTGTATTTATGTCCCTGCTTCTCTATAATAGTCCAATTCCCGTAAGTGTACATGATATTTCAGTGACTATGCATGCTTAATGCTCGACCTGCTTTGGGAGCATGCTGCAGCTGTCAAATTCCATATGTTGAAAATATGAAGTTAATTTGCCCATGAAAAGATATAAAATACTCGTAGAATTAATAACTACTTGATGGAATGAATGCTTAAGCTATGATGTTTGGATTCTTTTGAGTGGAGGGGAGCAGAGTTGAATAGAAGGAAATGGAAGGGAGGTGTGTAATGGGATGGAGGGAGAGTATTTTCCTTTGTTTTGGATGCTTAAGGAAAGAAAAGGAGGGAAACTTTCTTCCCCTTGCTGGAGAGTTGAAGTTATTTGGGGCCAATGAAGTTTAATATCCCTTGTTTAATTTTAAAAACCTTCCCCTTTCCCCCCCCCCCCCCCCCA